CTATTTTGTAAACACATGCACACGTTGAAGTCCTTTCCCCAAATAATCTTGAATTCAATTTGTTGTCAGATATGGATATCTTTTTTTACCATAACACCTGTGTGCATTGAATGTAATGTAATCCCTATTTATGTCGTATAGTACACCGAGTACCAGAGACCCATTTGTTTTTGTTACACACCAAGCCCTAGCCACTACTATTAAATCGCCCCACGGATTCAGAGAATCTCCATACCTTCCTAGTCCAATATGATACAACTGCGTCAAATAATCTTATGTATTTTCTAAAAAAGTTCGTCTATATTCAGATGGAAGCTCATGTTCAGATTTGATCCTTTCATATTCAAGTGTAACAATACTGTTTGCGCCTATCTCAAGCAAGCATGCTTCAATCCATGGTTTTTCGGATCCTATGACTAAGACACGCCCTCCTTTCACTCCTGGTGCATGTTGTAGTCCGTCCCTTATTGCGTTAGTTTCAGATATGCCGTAAGTACCAAACATACTCATTGAGTGAAGATTTGGTCCAAATAGGTATCCTCGCAGTACTACCAAGGTAGGGTTGGTTAAAATATGCCGTGTGCACTTCTATTTGTCCATTCATCGTATAATAATTCAATAAAATTGAAGGTATTTTTCTTGGAGCATGCGCAGGTCCATGAGATGAATCAACATATTCGTTTTGAAATAAAGCTTCACAATTTATAGTGGCTGTAATTTTATCAAAAAAAATTCCTGGAGTTCCTTTTAGTGAAGTATCACACAGCTGGCCACATAATAACCTTGTTTTGTTTATTTCCTCTAAATATGTTGAAAAATATGAATTGTGTTTGCTAGTCGTCTGCTCAGTAATAGGTTCTATATGTTCTACATGTTTTTCAATATGTTTTAATCTCGTATGACGGAACAGTATTATGAATAAAGAAATAAAAATAATGATTAAAATAAGTTTCGAATACTCCATCAATTTCCCCATTATTTATTTGTCAGAAAAACTGAAAAAAATGTATCCTGCAAAAGACGAATTATAAAGGTTATTCATTATTCGTTTTTACCTATTAACTGAATACATTATAACATATTTTTTTTTTATTTTTTAATATAATGTAGTACATTTATCTCCTGTTTACATATTAGCAAGACAAATTCACCGACTGATACAGATATAATCATGAACGTTAAACAGATAACAATCAATCTCTACAAAAGTTGCCAAGTATAAGTAGGTTCAATTTACAATCCATCTATGAATGTAATACATTCTGCGTACTATCAACCCTGGTCGACATCGATTTTATTAACTCTTACAAAAAACTCTCCTGATCTCAACTCACTTACAACCTGTTTTCGAAGTCTTATATCTCCAGATACCAGAATAGTAGTCTGATCTGTGATTTTCCCGATTGTGTCATATTCCCGATTCTGATATTTTAACTGAGTGTTGATTCGTCTGGCGGGTGATGCATACACAACCCGAGACGCCTACCCTGTCGAAGGACCCGGTTTCGCCCATTTCAGGAGTTCATGCGATTCTTTCAGCTTTTGTTTGTTTCTTTGATGTGCCTTCTTAATCAATTGATAGGATTTGAACACCGATAAACTACTGATACTTTAATTTATCTGACATTTTACAATTGTATTTTAGCCGTAAACGACTGTTTCGATCTTAACTTCTTCTGAAGAGTCTGAGCAATAAAGTATGCAGTCATGTTCAGTCTTTAAGCAAATTTTCAGACTTAACCACTCTGGTAGACTGACCATATCTTAATTGACTGCGAGCGAGCTGCCTGAACAATACCGAATTCATAACAGCGAATAAGTCTGAAAATAGCATAAAAGTCTTACATTTTACTTTTCAGTTTTTAAGAGCTGATCAGATCAAAATTACCGTTAAAGATTAAAATTGACTAACTAGTGTATGTAATGATACATGTGTTGTTGAATGTCATTGTGTAAATTTGAACCCTCGGTATTATTCGTATCAGATCAGAAAGATTCAATAAGGAAATAAATAATAAAAGTTTAAAACACGAACTTTTCTAAATAATTAATCATAATTGATAAAAACGATATACTAGAATATTTTTTCAAATGATAAAAATAATATAAAAAAATAATTAGAATAATAAATCAAAAATAACAAATGAAAAAAATCGAAAAATATTCTGACTACACGAAATCTAGCAAAACATCAATAAAATTGAAAAATTGAAAAATTAATTAAAGACATAAATAAAATAGACAAAGACAATATTTTATGAATAGACAGAGCTCCACAAAATTGTCCCAGAGATAACACTGTCAGAATCTGTTTTATTGTAGAATTAATCAGGACACCAGTAGAACTGTCCATAACTGTTCAAGGGTAGAACTGTTTAAAAATGTTCTAGGGTAAAATTTTCAGAATCTAAATGATTAGAGTACATTGGAAACTTTTAACTTGAATCAGTATGCCATTACATTGGTTAGCAGTTAACTTTGAACACTAGATCTCTATCGTAAATGGCCTTGCGTAATAGAATTTTATAGATGTGGGCTGTCACTTCGGGTTTTTCTGATCATGTGTGTTAATTTACAAATCCCGTCTGCCTGTACCTTCGTTGTAAGAACTGGAAGGGGAATTTCTGTCCTGAAATTGTCTAGCAACTATTTTTATAGTTTCTTCTTATTCAATGTTGTTACATCCCTGTCCCGGGTTAGAGGAGGGTCGGCGCGCCCTCAAATATATTTAACCCCCGCCACATTTTGTATGTGCCTGTCCCAATTCAGGAACCTGTAATTCAGTGGTTGTTGTTTGTTGTTCTTTTATTGTTTTGTACATAACACAGGCCGTTATTATTCCCGTTTGTATGTTTAACATTTTTACATTTCGGTGCGTTTTATAGCTTGCTCACTGTTAAAGCCCGCACGATTACCTATAGCTCAAACCTTTCTGCGTATTTTGGTATCTGGTAAAGGGTTGTCTCTTTGGCAATCATACCGCATCTTCTTATATCTATATATTACGGATACAATGTTTATCAAAAAATTAGATTTTTATGTAAGGATAAAATGTATATAAATATCTTTTATATCACAGTATGTAATGCAATTATATGCAATCAAATGTTTTTTTATGATTACTTAAAAGAAAAGAAATCAAATGTAATCGATTACTTTTCAATTAAGATGTTATTGTTATGTAATCGGTTACATTGTATAATCTATGTATTACTGGTTAATTATTACGGCAGGGATTTCGTTACCACAAATTACTTAAAACCTTTAAGAAATTCTTCCATGGATATAAAAATTTGGTTTTGAAGTTTGGTTGTACCTGTAGAAAACTTATTTCAAACAGTATAGCACATCCTTATTTTTACGGAGATGTTGTTTACCGTGCCCGGAAATTTAGAAACGATCCTAGTAAACTTACCGATCCTTTAAATAAACTAAAAGGTTACCAATTCAACGCTGTAATTAGATCTTTGAATATTGTTTTATTAGTATTAATATTGATTTTGTTATCAGTAAATTAAAAGAAAACTAAACATGATTGTTATATACATATGCACTTTCATGAATCTACAATCTGTCGATGCCTGTTTCTTGGCATTGCACAACGTCATGTTTTTCTCTGACTATTTATGACGTCTTTACACTAAATTCATTAGATGTTGGATGTGTACTGATTGATAATTTAGTCTTAGATGCATGATTTTTTTAATAATTGTTATTGGCTTTGAATTAGCTGTCCAATGGAGAAGTTATGGTAGGGCCATTTTGTTTCAATCTACCAAATACCACAAGACAGTATATCGGACATCAGTAATTATAAGTATAATTAAGTATTTGTCTCACATATTGACATAATAGTTTAAACTTCTTATATCATATAGCGCAAAATAGCAAATTCTGCCAAAATAGCCTCATTTTGAGATCTTCTTATATATACCCAAAAAGATATTTTGCTACAAAATGTATTTTTCAAAGATATTGATATGAAAATATATTTTTGGATAAAAGTGTAACCCATATATATTTTGACAAAAAAATATACGTGAAATGACGATTTGTGATCAATTACGTAAATTTAGACATGTTTATGACATCACAAGTGACTTTTGGAACTAAAGTGTCAAAATTACATTAACCTATTAATTTGTGAATAACATTATCATACTTTTAATAGAATTAAATAAGTTTACCATTTTAGCAATTTTAATGGGCTAAATAATGGTTCTTATCACAGCTCTGTCTTTATTTAGATCACTATATAAGTTAAAGTAACCTTTTAGACAATATTATTTTATTTTATTTTTTCAATACGTGTGATTAAAAGCTTTGTATGCGTACGGGTACGTGTTACAAAACATCAGAAAGTACAGAAAGCTAAAAAAAAAAGGAACAATATAACAAACGAAAAATCTGTAATATATAAAATGCACATTAACGTTCATCCATGTTTTAAAAGTTCTTGCATTAGGATCATAATGCCATCTTCTATTGTTTCTTATTTTACTTTTCTCGTTTTATCTTTAAAGGCAATTGTTACATGTACAAAAACAATACTGATCATATTTCAATACCTTAAATCAGATAATTAAATTTTTGCAGTAATTGTCTTGGTTTTTTTGGGTCTAGTTTGTTCTATATGAAATCTGTATTTCAATTCACTCTTAAGCAATTTATACACATCAATTTTCTATTTCTTAAGTTTTACAGTCAATAAGATCTTTTATAAAGTAAATTATATAATAAAAAGGAAGCAACTGATATCAACATTTGAATTCAACAACATGTTTATCTAATTTTAGTTTCAATAATAAGTTGCATCTTATTCCAAAAATCTTTCATGTATATCATTGTTACCGTATTAGTTTTAATTTTTAAGGTTTGATAATGAGCATTACTGAATTTAAATACATTTTTTATATCTCACACATTAAACTATTGTACAAAAAGAAGCAACACAATCATTTTTATTTGGCGACACAGGAAATGAGAAGAAGCAGGTAAACTTTTATATTTCTATGTTTTACATCATTAGAAAAGTTTCACTTTATGTGTCTACCTTCATGTTATTCTATTTTTATATTAATATTTTGTTTTGATAAAATACAAAAACAAATCTTAAAAGGCTGAATTCATCCGTGTATGTTTCTCTTGTGTACTTTGTTGTGACAATGTTGAATTTGTAATATCTATCAACGACGTCAATAAAACTCAATAAATGATAACCAGGCAATTTTGTACGCCAGAGGGACGTTTGAATAAACATGTTAAAGGTCAAACAAAGTATGAAATTGTAGAGCATTGAAGTCTAAATTGGTCGAGACTATTTGGTATTCGCAAAATTATTAATAATTATCTGAGACAAAAAAGTAGTTTGGTTTATTTTACATGGATGGGAGATAGCTGGCAATATCTTGAAAGACTTTTGAATGGAATCTGAAGTATTAACCCTGTATGGAATATATTACCTATTAGAGAGGAATAAGATGGAGATAGACATTTTAAAGGTAAAATGTATTCACTTTAAACAGAGTTATGAATCGAGAAAATAACGCGTGAGGACCAAGAGCTAAAAAAAAAAGGAAGGAATTTGAATAATCAAATAGCAATAGATGTTGGACAAAAATATATTTCGTTGAATTTAAATTTATAAAACGCTTACTATCCTTGTTGAATTGTTATTTCTTATGAGTAGTCATTTTGTTCAATGCAATAGCACTTTCGGGATTTACTTTCATCAGGATTGCACAAACCAAAAACTTTTGAAAGCCAAAGACGTATGAGACCTAAACACGTGAAGAGCTATATGACCTAAAAGAACATAAAATATGCAAATTTATTCAAGGTAATCTTTTCTGACGGAGCTTGAACCTTCGTTTTTTAATCATTTTTCAACTCATCACACAAAACATTAAGAAACGTTTGTTAAAAATCATATCAGTACTAATGCATTGACTAAAGTTTAAACAATATTTGATTCAGATAAATTGATTCGGATTGGTTAACAGGCCAATCCTATGTAAGCCCTTTCTACACAACAAGGTAAAACATATTATTTCTTATAAAGTAAGAACCTTGCAATCTGATTGGTTAATTACGGCGGTCTAAATAACACCCTACCAAAGTTCACCTGGGGATAAAACATTTCAAAATTAAAAAGAAAAAAATATTCAAAATAAAGAAAATAATTTGTAAATGCAAAAATTTCGAAAAAAATATAATAATTTGGCAAAATATAAAAAACTATTCTTTGCTAAAATTTAAAAGAATGAAAAAAAAAATAAAAAAATAACGATTTTTTTTATAAATTCCCCAAAATAAAAAAAAAATAATAAATAATATTTGACAATGTGCACCAACATAAGTGTTGAAAAAAGTGTAATGGGAGTCTCCGTAAGAATTTTTCAATTTTACATCCCGGTATAAAGTTGGAAAAAGAATGCTTCGTAAGAAAAACAAATTCGTTATCTTTGTGTAATCTGGGGTGTACGAAAGTTTACACCGGTATTGAAAATTCTGTACATCCCTGATTGCACCTCCAGTCAACTGTTTAATATTATAATTAGAATAAATCATTTTTCCCAAACAACATTTTAGATATCTATCACTTATGTTTTACTAATCAATCGCACCTGAGAAATAACGACAGTGAGTAATTATCCGTGTTGGTACATAAAAGAATCATAAATAATAGATAATAAGAAAAAGAAATTAGAGTGAACAAAAAAAATGCACTGACTACTGAGTTGATGAAACCCTCGGGTACTAACAGATCACCAACAGGGATATTAAACTACTTGTTCAACCTGATCTATCAAAATATAATCTTATTGAGCAAAGACAAATTATTCATGAGGCTAAACTACATTGTAAAAAGAATAAATATTTCCTATGAAATTATATTTTTCTAATCACATTCACGGCTGTAATTCAGAATGCCGAAACAAAAGATTGTTTCAGAATCAGTAACAGCTGTGAAATATTGCCGTCGGATTGCGGTTTGAATAAATGCAATTCAACTAAAAATTCAAAAGCAAACTTGTTGTTTTAAGATAAATATTATTCCTCAATGATACTAAGCACGAAATGTTCTAATGTTCAATGCATTAACGAATGGAGTCTGGTAGGGCTTTGGTTAGATCTCTATTCTGGTCTGTAACTAACAGGTCGTATACTTTTCTAAATCGTTAATTTTAGCTGATTGTCTATTTGCATGTCGGCACGGGTAAAGAATGCACAATAGAAGATGCTTGCCTTCTCAATTCAGTGGATTTCCATCAGTTAAGAGATTCAATAGAAATAATAAGATATGGTATATTGCAAAAAACAACTCTCCACCAGAGACCAATTGAAATAGAAATCAACAACTATAGGTCACCATACGGCCTTCAACAATGAGTAAAACCCGTACCGCTTAGTAAGCTATAAATGGTCTCGAAATGACTTGGGGCAGACTTGGGGCAGACACAAACATAATGTGGCGGGGTTAACATGTTTGAGGGCTCACAATCCTCTACTAACTTTGGACATTGGTGTAACAGCACAACATAAGAGCAAGCTTTAAAAATCAGATGAAAAGTGCTTTACTCATCAGATCGATACAAAGCAAAAACATCTTACAAAAACACAAAAGACACAAAGTACAGATCTGAGAGCACTCGCAGTTACTGATAGCTAGGTCAAAGCCAACTACAACGAACATCATGTGTATATAACTAAAATATCAATCCGTACACACCCAACATTCAATGGATTTAGCTTAAAGACGTCATGAACAGTAAGAGAAAAACATGACCTTGTGCAAAGCCAAAAAATAGGTATCGACAGCATGTAGATCCGTGAATGTACATATCTGTATCGATGTGTTTGAGCTTTTAATTTTGACATTTGATAAAGGACTTTCCGTTTTGAATTTTCCTTGGAGTTCGGTTTTTTTGTTATTGGTTTGGTTTTCATTTACTGATAACAATATCAATATTTATACTGATAAACCATTTTCAAAGATCTAATTACAGTGATGACTTTGTAACCTTTTAGAATAAGTTTATTTAAAGGATCGATTAGCGTACCCGGATCGTATCAAAATTTACGGTCTCTTTAAACAACATCACATAAGCTTTCTACGGTTGCAGCCAAACTTCTTAACCAATTGTTGTATCTATGGAAGAATTTATTAAAGGTTTTTAGTAATGTGTGGTAACGAAATCCTTGGCTCAATAATTTAATGGTAATACATATATAATTACGTTCACTAAAATCCAAAACGTCCCTACATACACGGGCATAACGACAAGTTGGGATGTATAAACACCGTAAGATGGTGCCAAAAGAACATACTCGTTCACAAAAGTAAAATTAACAATAGGGAACGAAAATAGTCCCTTTTGTCGTAAATATAGTGTAAACTTTGGATTATATAATGCAGTATATATCATTTGTTTATCGGTAAAGTCTCAACAAAAACAGAAAATTAATATTGGGATCTTGATAATTAGTCTTCTATATTTATAATATTATTTTTTGTCTTGCACATTTCCTATTAACAACTGTCATACAAGTGGCAGGTTTAAACCACCACTTTCTTCGGAAATTGCCTGTACCAAGTAAGGAATATCACTTGTTCCGTTGATTGATAGCGTTTGATATCATTTTTTGTTTGTTTTTGTTTTTATGAACTTCCCCTTTTTGAATATACCTTGGAGTTCAGTATTTTTGTTATACTTTTTCCCACAGCGGTGTCCGTTTGTATAAACATACATCAAAATCATCTTTTACCTATATTTTTAAGAAAACTAAACATATATTCAAGAATACCTCAGTATCTGATCATTCAATCCAAGTACATGATACTTATAGGATCATCTATTTTATTTTTTGTTGTAGTTTTGTCCTATTCTTTTTGCAAATATAATACAAGTAACACAACTGGTCAACAAATAAGACTGAATTTTTCAATCGAAATTGTATTTAAAATATACTTCAGTATTTTCTTTTGCAGACTCTGCTTAAAGTTGCAATTATTTTCGTGACACCAACTCAGTTATTTAGGTAAGGTTGTATAGAAAAGTTTATCCAGTTGGGGAATGTTGGGTAGAAATTTGAATGTAAAGTATCCGGAACATCTACAATTTAATTTATATTTCGTGTTTCAAACTTCAAAAATTACATGATAATTACTTTTAATAATACGTGCACAAACACATATGTTATCCTTTTAACAGCCAAGACTGATTTTGAATATACAAATAAGATTCGTCCGCCTGAACTAATTTTTACTAAATCGAACATTCATAAAGGCTGATGTCATGTTTTAGAATTTGATATAAAAATTGCAGATGATTATTTACTTACAAAAAAATGTGGACAAACGGGACGACTATTTCTTTTCCAATTTTAAATCATTCTTACTTTCGGCTTTCATTTGGTTTGATATGGGCGTAATCCTGATTATGCATGAAACATATACCACTGGACGTGAAATAATCAACCCTCAAATAATTGTTTTGTAAGCAATTGCAGTGAAAACCTGGATTTAAAGTCAAGTATTATCTGTTTACTTAAATCATTATAGATATATAATATTAAATTGTTCAACACGTTAAGTGAATGTTGTCACAAATATAGCAATGCATTCTGGAAATATGATATCACACTCAGAAATAAATGGATTGGTACAAATTATAGTATACAATGTTACTGTTTAATCACTAGTACTGCGTCCCGTATTTGTTTTATAAATCAATTCACTTACTTTTAGTTTGAAGGAATCAATACTAAAACGTTTCTTTTGTTTTCTGCATAGCTACCAGGGGTTTCTGTAATGTTTTAGGTGTAATACCACCAAATCATAGTACGTCAAATCCGGTTGCATACGAAAAAAGGTCGAAAAAAAATATTCCCTTGAATTTGACAGTTGTAGGTAATTGATTCTTCATTTCATTGCAGTAAAACATTTCTGAGTCATAAACATATATCTTGGGTATTTCAAAGCACCATTATTTCTTTATTTATTTGGGGTTTCTATAGAATATTTTGGAAACTTGAGGTTACATGGTTACTAAAGCTTGTACACAGGTTAAAAAAGGGGGAAAATTTGATTGGTTAACTTCCAGTGATGGTTATTTTCTTATATGCAATGAAATGTTATGTGAAATTTTTTCTATAGTACTGGACAGGATAAAACTTTACTCATGCCAAGTATTTCTTTATTTGAAACAAAGATAAATTCTGCACAATTTTTTGAAAAGTGCAAATTTAACAAAGACTAATAGGGGAAAATCAATGGTGGTATTACACCTAATATGGGAAGCTGTACATGCACCTTTGACCTTGTGAGTACTCTCATGTGTTAAAATTTCTTGCTATTTAAGTGAAATATTACAAATAATGAAATATTCTGAGTGGATTGAGTCTCCAAAATACATTTTATGAGAAAATTTCCTTGAAATAGGACTTTACCATGAATATTAGTTGACAGAACAAGCCATACTTAGAGTCTTGGGGAGCTTTTTCTCCTTATTTCTTATATTCTGCTATACTAGAAAATTTTTCCTAAGAAATACTTTAATAAATATATAGTTTTAAGTAAATGAAATTATTTTTAAAGCAGTAACAACAAATTATTCACCAAAAGAGAAGTTTTTTATGTCCCTCTCTGGAACGCGGCGTAAATTTAAGTTTTACGCAAGGACTTATTGAAACCTCCTTGGAGACAGTAAACTTTTATACGGATAGTTCAAGCAGCTTGAATACTTCAATTAATCATTTATAATAACATTTCTATCATAAATGAGTGAAAGTTACCCCAAAATTTTTATTTATTGGCCTAAAAAGTAGAAATTTTGAGGAAATGAGAGGTATAAATGGACCAAAAGAGACTTTATAAGGAAGAATAGGAGGTCCATTCGTAGTATTTATCATCCTAAAGTCATCTTTTGTATCATATTCAACTGTTTGTAGGCAGATGAGATAAATATTTGATCATTTATTGGTCCACACTATATTCTATCATGATGCGGCTTGGTTTGAATTTTTCGAAGAAATTTTGCTCGAATCGCTGTAGATGTCGTCTTACATTATACTAGATTTTTCTCAAACTATTGAACTGATTATGACAAAACTTGACAGGAATACTTGAAATAACCAGTATTACAAAGGAAAAAAGTCACATTCAGTTTATTCAACAAAAAAGTCTTCTTTAGGTGTAATACCACCAAATCATAGTACGTCACATCCGGTTACATACGAAAATAGGTCGAAAAAAAATATTCCCTTGAATTTGACAGTTGTAGGTAATTGATCCTACATTTCATTGCAGTAAAACATTTCTGAGTCATAAACATATATCTTGGGTATTTCAAAGCACCATTATTTCTTTATTTGGGGTTTCTATAGAATATTTTGGAAACTTGAGGTTACATGGTTACTAAAGCTTGTACACAGGTTAAAAAAGGGGGAAAATTTGATTGGTTAACTTCCAGTGATGGTTATTTTCTTATATGCAATGAAATGTTATGTGAAATTTTTTCTATAGTACTGGACAGGATAAAACTTTACTCATGCCAAGTATTTCTTTATTTGAAACAAAGATAAATTCTGCACAATTTTTTGAAAAGTGCAAATTTAACAAAGACTAATAGGGGAAAATCAATGGTGGTATTACACCTTTACGACGCTGCAAGAAGTAAACATCTACGAGGTACAGCAACTGATCTTGGGCGGAAGACGAAATGATTTCTTATCAACATGTTACATAATTTGCTTTCAGTTACTTTCAAAGTAACAACGATCATTCTTTAATTGGGTTAATTGATATTGTTTTGGTTTGTGTTTCAGTTATATAGTATTCCTTCATTTATGAGTTAATAAGTTTTCCTATGCTGATTTATTTTGTATATCATTTTATGGAAGGTTTTTTTAATCCACGGATCTAAGTTAAATAGTAGGAGGTTTGCGATTTCAAAAATCCAGTGAAACAACGCCACACGTTCAATAGCTTGGTCCAAGTCAGTCACGTGGTCAGTAGTTCTCGCATGTCATAGAGTTTATACAGTTGATTTAGAGATGGACATATTGTATACACATCAGTATTTTGTTGAAACCATATGTTGATATCTATTTGTTTTTTGGTAATTGTTGTCGTTGGCTTCCTGTCTCTTTGGGGGTATTCCCTACATCTTCTTTGATTATCTGCCTGCAATCATGGAGTCAAATGTAATTTTTTTTTCATACGATATTGATCTATATTTTTGTAAATGTTTTAAATTACATTCATTAAAATTTTGAGAAATCAAGCAAATATAGTTACATATAAGCACGTCGATACGATTACGATGAGAGCAAGTATAAAACGTTCGTTCTCGAGTTCTATGATGCCAACTGGCTGTGCTGTTTTATGGAGATGTATGTGATATTTTACGAAAACAATAAAGAACCAGGTTGAAAAACCTTGAATCATCGTAGGCCTTATATTAACAAAAGCTAAAAGGAATAAGTCATGGAAGTCAAACCTTGAATTCTACCATTTATACATAACATTTACAAAAGATTGAAATGCTTGCATATATGTTTGTGAAAACAAAAGCGGCACCGGATATTCACTATCATTTTCATAATTAAGCTACCTTATACATCGAAATCTTGTTGGTCATGTTGGTATTGCTATACACAATTTTTTGTTCAAATTTATTGTCATCTGCATTGTTGAGAAATCTTTAAGTAGTTTAAAGACTATTTGATATTCAAATTCCTAACCTTCCAATTTTGACCTTATGAAAGAAAAAATTACAGAAAAAAATGACCATCGCCCGAACCGGACCATCTTAAAACTCAAACGTGGATGACAAGTATGTTGTTGAAATTTTGTCCTTTGACTTTGAGGACAGCTGTTCTGAAACTTTATGTGTAATTGATAAATACGTAACTGTAGCAAATTCCAACAAAAATATATATGAAAGTTGAATTAATTCCAATATCATTGTTTGTTTTTATACAATGACACCGATTTAGGAAATTACGACAGGATTACAACTTTTTTACAGATGGATGGGAATACTGATACATCAGAAATCTCTATGATGATAAGATTTTATGTCGAAACGGAAGCTGCAACTAAATTATTGTAACTGCTATTTAAACAGATGAAAACATGACATTGTCCCTTATCTAATTATATATATCTGCTACATATGTGCAACATAGAACAATTCGGCTACATTCTGGAAATATGTTAATAATCTATTTCTAAAAATTGTTGTTAGTAGTAAATTATAGATATTGACTGTATTCAATGACCAGAATTTCCAGGATTTAACAATCAAAACTGTATTAAAGTAAATGAAGAATGTTTTAACGTAGTAAAATTATAAAGACATGTCATTTTTGTTTAACAATACACATCAACTCGCAAGCAATGATCGCACTTCCAATAGTTAATTTTGACAAGATTAATTGACGTCGCATGAATTTCTTGACGCTAGATTTGAAACCGATGCATGAATTTTTTTACATGTGTTTTTTCTTCGTGTAACATTTCTTTGAATCAATACCTGCACTGAAATCAGTAAAACAAAGTTGTGTTTCTGAACTACCGGGACCGAGCAAAGAAAAACAGAATCAGGCCATTAGAAGGTTGAAGGCAGGAATAAGTCAACGTGATGATACTCAACATTTCAGGTCAGATATGCCCCTTTTAGTTCTTACAACAACGGTATTGGCAAACAAGAGTTGTAAATGAACATCCATACCCAGGTCAACTTGTAGAAACAACGCCGCGTCAACAAAATTGCATCACACAGCGCAATTTTTCGAGAGAGTTTTATGACTGTTACGTCGACTGCTAACCAAGTCGCCCGGTGTCAAGGAAAACATAGTAATGAAATGGTTTCCCATTTACTGAACTTCCACAGAATCCACTGCAGAAAATCATTTCAATCAATTGATCATAATTTTTAAAATCAGTACAATAGGGTAGACAGAAGCAAATTCAGTCTGAACAATAAATCATAAAGTAATGTTTATTCTTTGAGTACGTTTTCAGACTTATCCGCTGCAGTAATTTTAGTATTGTTCAGACAGTTCGCTTGCAGTCAATTCAGTACTGTTCAGTAGCTTCTAAGGTAATTCAGACTTAGTTTGATGTATACAGGTAGATAACAAACTACTGAACAGTCTGCACAAGGATCTTAATTTTAAAATGTGTTCACACTAATAAATATTTTTTTCTGAAGATTTTATGCAACCTGTTTGGCGCCACATTTTATGAAAACGTTTTTGAAGTACAGGTAAATAGCTCTGAAAAATTAACAATAGTACTTCGTTACCATGAGGCAACACTTATTAGATAGGTGTTCGTTTTCCTGATATTACAACAAATAATGCAGATTGCAAGTTTCTACATATCCATTGACCGGGAAATTGTTTTCAAATTACATGACGTCATTAGCTTATCTTGAATTTCATAAACCTATCGGTTGAATTTTTGGTTATACAAGGTCTGTTCCGTTTCAAACCAATACAGGAGGTCATTTTAATGATTTATCTTGTGTACTTGACACATACAAGAAAATAATAATAATAAACAACAAAACTAACAAACAAACAAACACAAAAATAAATAAATAATTAAAATAAATAAATAGATAAATAAATAAATAAATAAATTAATTAATAAGTAAACATACATGAATAAATTAATATAATACATTTTTCATAGATTAAACTGATGAATAAGCAATTTAATTGTTATGATCTTAATAAAGAAAAACACTCCGTATGAATATAAGTTTACAAACAGAAAACGTAAAAGTGATATATTTATCTAACAATTGACACGATACCTGAATTTTAACGCAAGGATGTTTTGATTAAATAATCTTAACAATACTGGACAGCACACTTTGTATACTGAAAAGTTTTTAGAGTAAAACAGCGGCACCAAAGCATTCGAGATCAGATATATCAAATTATTATTATATTTTCGGCACACTGTAAACACGTAACTGTATAATTACAATTATGGCCTTTGGAAATATAAGTCATATAAAATGACTATGGTCAGGGAAAATTTATTCTGTCCTTTATGTCAAGAATCTTTGTTTGTCTAAGTTATGTTCGACATTAAAATGTCGTTGAACAATCTGCCATTTGAAGTCTGTAAAAGCAATCTATGTTTTAACTTTGATTATTCTCAAATACTAAGCATGTTGTCGAACAATTTTTTGGACATCTTTATTCATTTAGTGCTTGATCTTATAGTTCAATCAATTGGATTTAAAACTGATCTAAAACTAAACTTGCATGTGTCTTGTCGATACAATTTCGGGTAAAGATTTGTTACCGGATTTTTCACGATCCGATTGCAACGATTTGCCGTTATAACTTATTTTACAGCCATATGTCTCGTTGAATCGAATATGCATCTAACTTTGAATAATCAATGATGATAATGATCACAAAAAAGATTAGGAAAAATATGTTACTATATTTAAGTCCATTTTATCAAGATTTATGTGTGACCGATATCAAATACCATGTTGCAATGTTACCATGTTACCATATTAACACCCGAAGACATACACATACAATAGATTTGGTAAAACAGTTCAAAGTGTTTGAATACTGAAATGTATCTTGATCTATTTATTATTATAATCATACCCATTCATGGCCATTAACATTGTTGATGTCACTGACGTGTACAAAGTATATACACATTCACGGGGTTTAAGGTTAGGTGGAACACATTTTGTTTTTAAACGAATAAAATGATAGTTGTGGTATTTTATTAACCTTAAATAACTTTGGTATTAAAAGCTATAGTTAAATACCGAAACTGGTACATACGGCCACTAGATATAATTTTGATTCTTTACACAACTTCTCCTTGAGGAAAAAAATTAAGTGTGAAACACCGAAATTTTAATTAGATTAGAATTCAATCGTTACTTTTATTAGTAGGATTTTACTTTCATATATTAAGAAGTGATAATTAGAAAGTACAAAAAAATACAACCGTAACTAAAGGTATATCAATAGCAATTTTCTGCAAAATAACCTTACACATCATTAAGAAAATTTGTTATTGACTATATACAAGCATGTTTTCTTGTGGGTATTCGATATCGGCCACATAATATATTCATTCCGCCATGAAAACAGTCTGGGCGAATGAAAACACCTATTATGATGACAGAACTGATACAACTCCACAAATACCACTCACGCAGCCACCAAGCAAGGTATTAATGGAGTCCCTTGTTATAAACGAATAAGAGCAGAATGGTCTGTCAAAATAAAATAACAACATCATCACAAGAATATCAATCTGTTATTTTTTACTCGTCATATCATAAACTATGTGATTAAGTAAATTAATGAGAGTTTAACGTTATCGATACCTATATCATTTTTATTCGTTATAGACATGTGCCCCAAAATACATACTTATTATAAAAATAATATGCTCTCTCTTTTTTTTTTAAGTCAGCATATGATATGGATGTAGGTATATGTATCTTGCAAGACAATTTACCGAATATGTCTAGTTAGAGACTATTTATATTGTTACAGGCCTTTTCTTACAGTAATCGTTTAAACAATTTGTTTAAGTTGTTCAGATATTTAAGGCTAATCTAGGTATGCAAAAACATCAAGATATATGACAAACCTTAACACTAGTTGTGCATGCAAACAGTTTATTGCTACATTTTATGAAGTGTAGTTCTTTAAATGGCTATTCCATAATTCATATTTTGTTACTACATCTCTTACTAAATGAACTGTTACGACAATGTTAAAAAAAATATACCACTATATTCATGGCCAATGATATAGTTAATCACACTCGAATCTGCATATAATCTTTAATTAGATCAATAGTTAGAAAATATATAATATCGACATTCTTGTATGGGAGTCTTTTACACATTTGAAAACATTTTGTTTTTGATTTAGGATTTTGATTAAAAAAGAAATCTCGTCTGTAGGCTACATCGGTCCAATATATTTTACTTACATCCAAAATTGTTTTAATACTTTTCGTGTTAATTATTATTGTAAATAATTATTATCTAAAAACTACCCTTTTAAATTAATGTGATACAATTATATAAAGTTATATAACGTAACATAAACCAAATCGTACTGAAGAATTTAAGAATGCTTCAAATAAAATTTAAAAAACCACAATAGTGTTTGTCTGTTCCTAGTAACAACAGAAACGGTACCAATTGAATTGCACCCGATGACGTTTCGACAGTTAATGTTTCTTCAGTAAGACTCGAGGCCAACGTATTTGAAAGTACCTACTAAAAACGTTGAAAAGTTGCTAAAACATTAACAAAAAATTTAAGACATACCCAGACCTGGACGAGGAATCAGACTGATTGATGAGGAAGATAAATCCTTAATTTAAATTGATTCACAAATTTTACGACAGCAAATTTAAACAGAACAATATCCGTAATTTTGTGCCTATGCCGAAGAACTGGCTACTGCATTATATTAATGATATCAATTCAGACAAACTGTTAGTACTTGTAGACTTATATTAACTACATTTTATGTAACACAAAATATACTAGGGTGCAAGACTTAATAATTGTCAACTCTATTTCATAATATCTGATTATATATGCTTTTATTAATTTATTATTTTCCCATTGTATAATTAATATAAAAGGAGTAATATTGTTAGCACTCCTTCTGAATAAAATATTTGTGTATAACTATAAACTTTTGGAGAGAATCAAACCCGACATTTAATTCAATCTAATCTAACCTTGAGAAAAAAAGATGAATGTTATATCGGAATGTTAAGGAAAATGAAAGAGAAATGTTAGAATTACTTACGTACTCTTGACCAATAATTTAATTACTTAAACGAAATTTAATAAATGTACGGTTATATTTGACATTATATTAAAAACACTGTCCATTAGTTTTTTTTTATATCGGTAGGTAAAACTTGTACTGTTTATCGATATTTGAAAATACTGATAAATATTGAAACGCTTGATGGTTGTCTTTTTGAATTTGAATAATTGCATATTCATAGCATTCAGGAAAATATAAAACAATCCCTCATGAAGTCAGTGGATATCTGATTTCTTAAACCAAATCAAAACCTTTAATGCAAAAAATAGGTATAAAGATTCTGAATTATTCCAAACATCAATAAGTCAACTGCAGGCAAATATAAATATTTAAACTTTATGTAAAATATTGCATTTTCAAGCACCAACAATACTGATTTAAAATACTGGTACGCATTATTTGAAGAAAAAACTCGGAATCTTGGCCTTATTTATCTATGTAAAATAAAATAGTGCATACAATATTTCGTTTGTATTTTTTATGAATTTTAAAAATCTTATTTGAGGTATTCAATATAGTAAGTATTATACATCAATGTTGTAGGGAAATAGCCTAACGTGTAAACATTGTTGCTGCTAATACTAGTAAGTAGTGTTATAAAACAATTCCTTATCTTAAACTCGTTTAATCAGAATGAGATATATTTCATCACAAAAATTAGTTTTACTGAGATTATGCAGTTTCAGGTTACTATTAAAGAGTTGATTGCTGGATTTGTTTTTGCTTATTCATAAAGATTAACACGAATATATCATAAATATGATGTTTGAGATGCTAAATTTTAATCAATCATTTTTAATATAAATCAAAATTATTCATACTAAAGACTTTTTTTCTATCCTTTTTGATTGAAACGCATAGTTGTTTGAATGACATTAAATAGTTATTTATCAATTTTCATCTAATTCAATTTTATTGTATTTCATTTTTCTATTTTTGTTCTTTTTCTACTTTCATCTTGTTCGTGTTTATTTTTTCTCCATGAATGTAAATCCGTTGTTTGATTGTAGAAGTTGTATCATTCCATACGTCTATTTCTGAAAAAAAATAATCTTTTAGACAAATACAAGTATTTAATATAACCTTTATGCACTGTGATATAATTTAGTATTCAGAAAAGACGCATCGATCGCTACAGCTAAACGGCCACTCGGTCAGAAGTGTATCGCATCCTCTATGTAAAATAGTCATGTTTTGCATATACAAATGACTACAATAACTTATATGAGAAAGGAAAGATATGCAAACACGTGCTATCAATACAAAACATTTTGTCTATTGTGTTATCCTAACGTATCTCGTCTGCTTCCATAGTAAATATTACTCGCTTACATGTTATCTTATAAAATTGAGAATGGAAATGGGGAATGTGTCAAAAAGACAACAACCCGACCATAGAGCATGCACGTGTAACAAACCATACAAAGGTTTCCCCCTTACAAACACTTTCCGCTGATCGTAATGGCTCGTTGAGGAGTGTGTTCTATTTGAAAGGGAAGAATTTAATGTATGTCTGCAATTAACTCAGAAGATGACTTGTCTAGTAAAAATAGATATGTTCATTTAGCCACCAAATTGTTCTGCTTATGAATCATTGCTTTTATTCACATGTTGCTTGAGTATCTCGGAACGTTGTGTGTCATTCACGTTGCTTATTCCTAAGTCAATATGGACGTTCTTCGGTTAGAATTGTAGTTTGTACACTTTGTAGCCCAAAACTCTATTTTCTAATTGTATCTCTTGACGTTGATATGTTCCTATCGTATCAATATACGATCCACGTAACATTAAAGAATATTTCAATAAACCAATTCCTGAAGGTTATCACTTAAGACCGTAGATCTCTCTTTTATCAGTTTTACATATATTTAATCTTTACTATGAACGGCATGACATAGTACTTTGTTTTATCTTAGTGTTTTCAAGAGTAAGGGTTCACATGGTAAATGTCTGAATAATGCAACTTTCAAGTTAACGTTTTTCTTTTTTTCGATACAAGACGTTTAACCAAAGAGGTAATGATCAATTCCAGGAAGGAACAGTTTGATCATTACATAACAATTTCAGCCAAAATAATAAAATAGTTTAATGAGTAAAATGTAACATACATGGGAAGGAGAATTTCTTAGGTTATCAACATAGTCACCAAACTATAGATTATTTAGAGAGATGACATCATCTTTATAGCAGAATGAGAAGTTATAGATTATACTTTCTTCATTTCAATCTTCATGAGAAACGGATGATGTCAGTTTCAGAGAATATTTTGCTTTAATCAGAGTAATGTTTTACAAGTATGATTTATCCATTCTTAAAACAAGATATTTGTATCTACGTTGGCCATTCTTTGTTATTTTCTTTGTCCAGGTAAAGCACTTTGGTATTGCTTTCGATTACTGAGAGCATTGTTTGCCATAAGTTATTATTGCTTTGCTTGACTTTGTAGTTTATTTTGATATTTCCGATTTGTTTTTGCTTTTATTGCATGGTTAACACATGACCTTGCGTAATTTCATACTTTTACATTTTAGAGAGGAACATTGATATACATATCCAAAGTCATTGGTCGTTTAGATCTTTAGTGATATCATACTCTCTCTTTTATTTACAGAATAACATTGATAAAGGTTAAATTAACACATGTGTGTTGACGGAAGCTCATAATCACTGTTTAGATATCACAAGTTTGTTTATACTATGTGCCATTTAATGCAAGACATTTTGACAAAACACTTTTTCTTGTCTACTTTTGAAGATCTGGTAGTGTTCTAGACCTTACATTCTCTTCTCTGTGTTTTTATAGCTGAAATTCAAATATGTTGATATTTTATTGTTTTGTTTCATTGTTTATGTTTCTATGTTGTCATTGTATTGTGTTTGAATGCTTGCTCTGCTTTATATTTGGTTTGTAATTAGATTTCATTTGGGTTTTGTTTGTCCATTGGTTTATTTTTCTTGAGGTTTGTTGTTTTATTTTTATTTCGCTATGCTTACAATATATCCATTGTATGTTGGATGTTAACGGATTGATAATTTAGTCTTAGATGTATGATTTTTTTATTAGTTGTTAGTGGCTTTGAACTAGCTGTCAGTAACTGCGAGTACTCTCAGATCTGTACTTAGTGTCATTTTGTTGTTTGGATGTACAAGTACCCGGCCACGTCTACTTGTATTTGTAATATTTGTATTTTTATCGATCTGATGAGTTAAGCCTCTTTCAACTGATTTTTATAGTTCGTTCTTATGTTGTACTGTTACACCACTGTCCCAGGCTAGGGGGATGGTTGGGATCCCGCTAACATGTTTAACCCCGCCACATTCTGTTTGTATGTATGTGCCTGTCCCAAGTCAGGAGCCTGTTATTCAGTGGTTGTCGTTTGTTTATGTTTTACATATTTGTTTTTCGTTAATTTTTTGTACATAAATTAAGCCGTTAGTTTTCTCGTTTGATTTGTTTTACATTGTCATTTCGGGGCCTTTTATAGCTGACTGTGCGGTATGGGCTTTGCTCATTGTTGAAGGCCGTACGGTGACCTATAGTTGTTAATTTCTGTGTCATTTGGTCTCTTGTGGAGAGTTGTCTCATTGGCAATCATACCACATCTTCTTTTTTATATTTAGTGTGTTTTTGTGAGCGGTTTATTAATCCTTGATCAATAGGCTTTACATTTTACTTAGATTTTATGTATCAACCTAGCTACAGTTTTTATTTTGGACAAAACAATTTTCATTTATTCAAAAAAGATATATGGAATCTGTTAAAGGTTGTTAAGAAAATAATTTTTTAATTTTGTTGAAGTTTGTTTTCAAATTCTGCAGTAGAAAGGTGCTAAGTGAAATATATTGACTACCAGGCTATATATTGTTATTGATAAAGATTTTTGTGACATTTAAAAGGGAAACGAAAGATACCAAAGGGACATTCAAACTCATAAGTCGAAAGCAAACTGAGCCTGTAATTCAGTGGTTGTCGATTATTGCTGTATATCATATTTACATTTATTTTTCGTGTTTTGTTCATAAATCAGTGGTCAGTTTTCTTTTTTGAATTGTTTTACATTTGCCATTTCGGGGTCTTTTATAGCTTACTATGCGGTATGGGTTTTACTTATTGTTGTGTCTATGGCGTTCTGTTTCTTTTCCAAAAATCAGGAAACACCCAAACGATAAGATGAATAAAAACACTGCTTTTATTCATCTGCAGTTTGGGTGTTTCCGTCTTTTTGAAAAAGAAACAGTTATTACCTTTTCTGTATGTCTCAGTGTTTTTTTTACATAAAAAGAACGGGCAAATTTTGAATTTATCATTTCCGCATGTTTCAATGTGTCCGCTTAACGATATGTTCCGTGTGCTTGGGTCTCGTATTTGATGTCTACGAAACACAGCCCGTTCAAACAGAAAATCATTTGAAAAGGGCTTGACTCATCAGATGGCATGTAGCACAATAATCAACTAACAAAAAAGACACTGGCACAAAGAATCGGTCTGAGGATACTCACAGTTATTGAAAGCTAGTTGACAGCCATTCACAACTTATAAATATATCATGTTTTTTCCAGATATAAATACCAATCAGTTCGCTTCTAACCAAAGTTCTTTAGTAATGTCTGGCAACAAAACACTGACTTTAATCTAAAACATCAAAATAGCTAACAAATTGAATAAACACACCCTAAGAAGGAGCCATGAATTTCACTGTCAAAGAGGAAAATTACCAAACGGAATCGAATTTTTTTTGTTATTTTATATAGTTTGCCTGGTAAATTAAGGCAACAGTAGTATACCGCTATTCTAAATTCATAAATCGATTGAGAAAAAAACAAATCGGGGTTACAAACTAAAACTGAGGGAAACACGTCAAATATAAGAGGAGAACAACGGCACAACAGAAACTCAACACTAAAATGCAACACACACAGAAACGAACTATAATGGCCATTGTCCTGACTTGGTACAGGACATTTTAAGAAAAAATGGTGGGTTAAACCTGGTTTTGTGGCTAGCCAAACCTCCCGCTTTTATGGCATATTAAATATAACATTAAAGTGACAAGATTACATGACAGGACTAGACTACAATACAAATAAATGGGAGAACATACAGGACAGAGACACATACAAATAATAGCTATCAAAAGGTACCAGGTTTATAATTTAATACGCCAGACGCGCTGGCAAAACTGAAATATCCAAATCTAGAAAACAACTATTATTGCTGTTTGTAATACATGTTTTGTGTAAGTTTTCCTGCATAAACTCCTCAGTATATTTATAGAACTCTTGACTATTCAAAAATGGCTTACTGGTAGTCCTCGAGAGTATCAACTACTCGGTATTCATTGCTTCTGTACTGGAATGATTTATAACAAACCTTTATTACATTTCTGTTTATACACGTAAACTTTGATAAAAAAAAAATCCTGTTTCAACTCTTTGAGGCAAAGTTGACCTTAATAGATTTGGAAATTCTTTTCGGAACAGTTGGTGAAACAGCTCTGGACGTGTTCAAGAATCTATAACACTTGGTTTTTATTTCTTAGGTTCTGAATGGTTTTGATGAAGTAATATAAAACAATCTCTTCGTACGCACGGAAGTATTAAGTTTAATTTTCATTTAAAGTAAACAAAATATTCAAGGTAATTGTGAGTGTTTTTGATAATATTAACGGTACCAATTTAAGTTCGATCTATTAAGTTGATTTTAGAAGGAT